CCAATGTGAAAAGCACTGCCATTCATCTATTTTTAATAACAATGACGCAGGCAGTGAACTTGACTTCAAAGCTGGGAGTTCGTCTTCTTTCCCCTTCATATCAGTCCTGACTCATCTTCCTTTCCAAGAGCTGTCCACGTCTTTGTAACCCAGTGAAGGAAGAAAGGAAGAACAAAACTGAAAAAAAAAAAAAAAAGAAAGAAAAAAAAAAGAAGTGGATCAGACAGCAAAGCATCAGAGTCAGAGAACCATTCTGGGAGAGGGATAAAAACCACTGGGACTTCACTGGCTCAGGGAGCCAGGGAAAATGAAGGGTCTGGGAGACCTGAGTGTACCTGGGGGGCTGGCTGATTGGGGAGTGTGATCTCTCAGGCAGCCAAGCAGGGATCCAGAAGCATCTGGATGGCTTGTAGGTCTTGAAGCTCTTGCAGAAAGGGCTGGAGGAAGCAGGGGCAGAGCTGAGGGTGCCCAAGCCTGGGGTGGCTGGGAAGGACGAGCTGAAGAGCTCTGTGGGGACAGAGGTCTCCGATTTCAGTGCACAAAAGGGCTCTGCAGTGTTGTAACTGCAGAGATAAGGGCAGCAAGTGTGAGGAGTGTAACCAGAGGAGGACAGGCTGCTGTGCAGCCTGGGGAGGAAAAAGCTGTGCTTTCATCCCAGAGAGGAGTTGGCTTAGCTGGGGAGTGAGGACAGGCAATGCAGGAACCCTTTTGGACCTTGGCATGGGGAAGGAGAGGTGGGACTGATGACCCAAGGGCTGGAACGTGGTCTGAGGGGCTCTCCCCAGGGATGGAGCTCCCCATGCAGGGTGACACAGGGGTCAGTCCTAGCTCATTCTCCCGGTGCTTGCACAGCCTCATGGCTGGGAGAATCTCAGAGCAGGTTGGAGTGAGCCAGCCAGCTCTGTGCCACCCCATGCCCATGGGAGCACCAGGAGCTTGGCCACAGCCACGTCACAGCGCTGTTTCACGGTGGACAGGGTCTGAATTGAAGCCAAGGCAGCAGATGGGCACGATGAAGCAGGCAGGGGAGCACGAGGCTGCGGCACCGGTCCCAGCACAGCAGCTGCCAATTTGGGCATCTCCATCTGCCCCAGAACAAGCCCTCTCTGGTTGCCAAGGCAGGGTGTGTGGTGCCGTGCCAGCCTCCTGCCTGGGCTCTGCCCAGTCTCCTGGAAGAGGAACGTGGAAGATGCTCTGACATTCCCGTGGTTGCCAGGTCCCCTGTGGGAGGTGTGTGGTGCTGTGTTTGGACTGACATGGCTGTGAACACAAGGACATGCTGGTGGTGAGACAGAATGGTTAACCCACTTCTTCATCAGCAGGCAGGTACATCCTTGTCCAGGGGATGTCCTCCTCGCTGCCAGGAGCATGGGCATGGCATGACAAGGAGCAGGGGGTCCAAGCACAGCTCCCACTGTGTCTTCCCCTGCTCAGAGTGGTGGGAAATGCCCTCTCACCCATGAGCAAACTTCTCCCTGTTCTGCACAGGCCACCTGCAAGGATGGCTGAGGGAGGCACGGCTGAGAGGTTGTAGCTTCCTCCACAGGGGAACCCATTATGATGCTTTTCAAAATCTAGGGCATTCGGTGCTTGACTGAAAGCCTAAAGGGATCATTTTTCATGGCTGTTCTGTTAAATGTCCATCTGGGACAGGGGCCAGAAAAGGCACTACGTAGGCATTAGACCAGGGTAGATTCCTTGCATTCCCACTGGGATCCTGTCCTCTGTCTCCCATGGCATGACTCCAGATCTCCACTGGGTTAAATCAGAGCAGAATTTGACCAATCCTATGCAAAGATGTTTTTCCTTGACAGGTTTCATTACATAAAGATTTTAATAGGTTAAATGACTAAAATGCCCAATCTCATCACAGTACTGTGAGGTCAAACCACTGTCTTGGTTCCTTGGGAGGGGAGAGAGACAGTCCCTGTTGTGTGACACTAATTTTGGAGCCCACAGAACTTCTCTGTCAGGGAAATCACCTGCTCTGATCAGCGGAACCAAATTTGTGTGCATACATTGCAGCAGCTTTCTCCTTGGGAAGGAGAAATCTCCCAAACTTCTCTCCTCCAGGGCATTTCCAAAGCCCAGAGGAAGGGAATTCCCCATCCTGCCAGCTCTCACCCAACTTGTCTCGTGTCTATTTTTATTGCCAGCCGTGGGTGAACCCTCGAGTGCTCCTTTGCCAAACCGGTTACATTTAAAAAGCCAGAGTGATCTGTCTGGGGGGAGAGAGTGGGTCTGAGAGCAGAGAGGAGCAAACCACAAGCCACAGAGCTGCTTTTTGGAGTGGCTGACTTTGCATGGGACAGCCTGGAGGCACCTGGGGCAGAGGGGGAAACCCGCCGTGAGCGCAGCTTCCCGCGGCATTTACGGGCTGTCGTTCACCGAGTGACATCTGCGAGAGTTTGGCTTTGATGAGTCTCACTGATGAGTCTTCTAATTGGGGTTGTTCACTTCCCTCTCTCTGGGAAACAGAGGAAGGCTCCCAAAGCCACTCTTCTGCAGATTTTGAGTCTGCAGATTTGCTCCCGGTGCTTCTCCCACCTGCCAGGGGGGGACAGGGGGGCTTTCTGGGGTGAAGCTCTGCTGTGATGTGTGTGAGCACACACCGGCAAACCCCTGCTTTTCTGCTTTCCAAAGGTGGGATTTGCCGTTGAGACAAAGCCATAGGAGGGGTCACAAGATGATCTTATTTTCCTCTCAAAGCAGGGCTCGCTGATGACACACGTTACAGGGCCTCATGAGGTGTGACATGAAACGCGGTGTGGGTGTTCCCAGCTGAGATTCAGCTTTACTGAATCACTCTGGAATATTTTAATGATGTTCTTTTGCACCAGCCCGTGGGATAAGTGCTTATTCCTGGGTATTACCAGGAAGGCATTTGCAGGACAAAAGCAGAAATAACATGTATCTTCTTTTGGAAAGTAGAAAAGAAGTAAAATGTATTATGGGGAACAAGGGAAACAATTTATTTGCCTCAGTGCTGGGATCAGCTCCTAAAAAGAGAAATAATAACACCTACCACCAGATGTCATCTTGAAGCCAACTAACAGCTCCCAAACCTGCAGGGACGGGGATACCCAAGGAACAGGGAGATTAATGGAGCAGGCACTGGGTTTTTTAGCAGGGCACAAGGCCACAGGGATCACTGCACCCTGACAGAGTGAAGGACCACGGAGTTGTTCCAGAGCTGGCTTTGTAAAAATCTTTTCTACTTGCTTGGATAAATCTCAGTAAAATGTAAAGCACTGAAATTTAACTTTAAGAACGTAAGCTGTAAAAAAAGAATCTTGCTGAAAAGCCCCATTCTGGAGCTCAGTTCTGGAGTGTCAGAGAGCAGAAGACACTCACAGATCTGGGTAGTTCCATCTGCTTTGTCAATCGTTAAAACATGATGGACACTATAATAATTTTTTAATGGCTTAATTACCAAAGCTTTGCTGAACCCTGTGTTTGAGCTGTCATTAGAATAAGTGTTTGCATGTGGTTGATATTTAACATTCGGGAGTGTGGGAAAATTTCCTGTGAAGGAAATCCAGGTGGAAATTAAAAAACCAAGATTTTCCCCTCTCCCAAAGAACTTTTAATCTGTTACCTGTGCAGAAATGATTATATTTTTTTGTAGTTAAACATACAGAGAAAGTTTCACAGCAGGTTTGGTGGAAATTCCGAGACTAAATTTAATGAAGACACTGAAGAATAGAAATTTTAATCCATCTGTAAGAATACATCTCTACGCAGTATTAGAGGTGGTGTTAATGTTTCCAACATCCAACTCCCTCAAGCACGTTTTGGATCACGCTGAAAAAGATTAGATGCAAAATTAATGGCAAACAATAATGAGAAAACTTACTACTAATATGGCATGGGAAGGCTTAGGGTCCAAGACCCTTTTTAGTTACAACTCTGTTGGTTTGAATTGTTTGGGATTTGGTTATTCCGTCCAAGACAGTGAAGCAAATGGACTTTGTTTGCTGAAGAGTTTCAGTAAAAATAGCTCAGCCTGTGCCAAAGATGAGGTCAGGGGAAAAAATCAGTCTCTAACCGGTGTAAAACAAAACCAACCCCCCTCGCAGCGGTTTAATGAGATGTCCGAGTCCTGCCGCGCTTTGGAAAGCACTCCCGGGATTTGGCGCTGCGTCCCAGCGGGAAGAAAGGCATCTTTTTCTATCCCTGTTACAGGGCTGCCTATACGGGGTAAGTGATAATGTGAGATATAACAGTTCGCACGTGAACGATCCCAGACCTATTTCAGGTTGTCAGCCGAACCCTCAGAGTATGAGAGACACGCTAAGCAGGGAGCGGAGGGAGCGGGCGGGCTGTGCCGTGCTGATCCACACCAGGACCAGAGGGAAGGCTGAGCCCTGTGGGAAACAGCAGTGCGGGGTAATTAGCGCTAATAGCGCCGGGGGCGCCGCCTCGGAGCCCCGCTGTGGTAACGGTAGGGGCGGGTGTTGCCCGGCCGGTGTGAGGGCCGGGGGCGGGACGGGCGGCGGGTCTGAGGGATCCGCTCCCCCATCCCGCTGACAGCCTCGGCCCCGCCGCCATCAGCGCGCGGCCATTGGCTCTGCCGCCCGTCCGTCACCGCCCTCTGCGCTGATTGGCTCATTTTTAACCCGCCCCCGAGGCCTGGCCAATGAGAGCGAGGCGCCCCCGGCAACGCCCCTCTCTTTCCTGCCACTGGTCCCGCTCTCCTCTCGGGAGTTGTTGTCCCTCCTGCGGTTGGTCAGACCGCCTGTCCCTCAAACGTCAACAACCAATCGAAAAGGCGCGCTCACGTGGACTGCCTGCGAGACCCTCCGCCCGTCTCTCGTTTTCCCATTGGCCGATCGGCTCCGTCCATCGCGCTTTACCCGGCGCCGATTGGCTGCGGGAGAGGGGCGGGCTCGCGGCCGCGTCCCGCCCCCGCGCGGTGGGCGGGGCCCGTCCTGAGGGGGCGGGGCGGGGGCGGAGCCGGCGGTGGCGGCCCCGGGTCCCGCAGCCGGGCTGCCGCCTCACATGGGGCCCCCGCGCCGGCCGCAGCGGCGGGGCCGACCCGCGCCGGGGCGCTGAGGGCCGCGGCCACGGCGGGGATGCGGCCACGAGACCCGCGCCGCCCGCGGGCCGTGCCGGCGCCGCCGCCGCCGCTCAGGTAACGGGCGGCGCGGGGGGCGGCGCGGGGCAGGTCCGAGCGGCGCGGGGGCGGTGAGGGCGGAGCGGGGCCGCTGCGGGGAAAGGGGCTCCGTGCCTGCCGGGGGGGTCCCACCGCCTTCCGCGCCGCGCTGAGGGGAGCGGGGCGTCCGGCCGAGCAGGTGCGCGGAGGGGCTGCGGGAACAGGCGGGACCCGCTCCGGGCGCAGGGGCTGCCTTGGGAAGGGTCGCTGTGCCGGAGGTGCCAGGGCTGGGCTCGGGCTTTGCTGTTGAAAAGTCACGCGTTAGTGACGGGCTCGGGTGTTGGGTGTCCGTGCGCACACGAAGGGTGCTGTGTAAATGCTCCTGGTCACTCTTGGTGCCGGTTCCTTCGGGGGTGGGAACTGCACTGGCTTCAAGTCCGGGGGACTTTCCACTTGGGTGTTCTGATAAGTGGCGCCCTGGTAGCTGAAAGCTACGGTTTCGAGAGTGCTGAATTGGGTTTGTAGAGTACTGAGTTAAATTGTATTGAGTTTTGCACCTTTCTGTTTGTCCCGCTAAAAACAGCTACAACTGGTATTTAGGCTAGTTTATGAAAAGCCTTTGTGCTTCAACTAATTTTTTTTTTTTTAATAGAGATCAGAGTTCCAGCATACTTTATTGTCTGCAAAACCAACAGACTTACAGTTCCATGGACCTAATTAGGCAGTGGAATTTACAGCCCAAGATAAGATTTTTTTTATGAGAAACTCTGATATGCCCTGTGGACCAGCCATAAACCTTTCCATTTAGTCACCATCTTTGCAAATCATTGTTGCATGCCAATAAAAATGTCATTTTCTGATCCTTCCAGTGTACAGCTGCAGACATGGCTGAGTACTTCCATTGTCCATTTGGGTTTGTCTTCGTGTAAAGCTTGCATGCAAAACGAGTAGCTTGAACTGCAGGCAGGGCAGAGAGGTGTGTTCCCTGTGCCTGGTGGCAAGTGTGTGCTCTCCTGTGTTTTTGGTTTGGAATTTCTTTAGTGCCCTTTCATTAGGATGACCAGCTGACAGTGGGAGCTGAGCAGGAGACGGGGACAGAGCAGTCCTTGCTCCGGTGCTTAATATTTTTGTGACTGTGGAAGGGCAGAGTTGGACCCGATGAGCTGTTCTGCTGGTATAGGCCTCCTGTAACCTGTTCATGCCCTCCAGTTCTAGATGTTTCCTTTTGCCAGTGTAATTCTTTATGCAAATGCTTTCACAAATCCATGAAAGAAATGCAGGGTTTAAAGGAGGGGACTGTTGCCTCTGTGTCTGCTGCAGAAAAGAATGAAGCTTGTGGTTCACTTGCATCATAGGTTCCCTTTCTGTATTCTTCCTGCAGCAGACAACCACGCATTTGCACAATGGCAAAGCTCTTTATTGTATCCTTACAGCCTGGTATCGTGCAGCCTGGCACAAAAACAAGTGCTTTGCTAGGCAAGATCAAAGAAGGTCAATGTTCATAATTATTTCTTTTTTTTTTTTAAAGCCCATTCTCTCCTTATTAGTTCCCCAATGTCTTCATTTGAAGTTGTGTGTTTATCAGTAAGTCCATCTAATAATCGGCAACTGTATCACACTGGCTCCATCTGTTGTCTGTTGCCGAGCCGTCTCTCTGCCTTAGATTGTAAGCCTCTTTTCGTATGATCCTGTCACTTTTTGTTAAGTTGAACACATTCCTGGTGGTGGCTAAGCCACTTTTTTGGAATGACTGTCCTGCCGGTTGCGCCAGAGAACTGGAACAACTTTGGCAGCCGGGAGTGGGGTGAGTTGAGAGAACTTTGCTTTGGAAGGCTGACCTTGTGCACTCGGGGTCTGTGACTCTCCAGCCGTGTTTCCCGTGGTACCCAGGGAGCTCCAGGTTGATTTGTAAATACCTGCAGACTTCAGTGCCTGCAACGCCCTCGCAGCAAGGGGTTGAGGAAGCCCCGTTCTCGCTTCAAAAACGCGTCAATAGATTAGTGAGGAGTGCGTTGCTGTTCTGTTTGTGCAGCCTGTACCTGAAGTAAACAAGGCCCTGGGTGTTTCACCCTAAGGTGAAACCAGTAACACAGTCTGGTGTTTGCTAAGGGTAGACTACAGAATGTGCCTTAAATATTTGTGGAGATGATACTTTTAGCTGGAAAAACACAAATCCTGACTGCCTTGTGCGATGGTGTACAAGTGTAAGATCGTGTCCAAGAAAGGTCAGTCAGGTAGGAAATTCAGCCTGCTTACTGTGTGTTCATCCCTCTTTCAGGCATTACCATTCCCTTTCCTTGCCTTTGCTCTGCTGGATTGTCTCCCTGGCTGCATTGGAACAACAGAAAGTTGGTTTCCATCTCCTGTGAATCCCCCAGTGCTAATAGAGCTGAGCCCTCAGCTGCAAACCTGGGCCCCAGAGAGGCTGAGGGAGAAATTCCTGGATTATTGAGATGCTACAATACCTGTTGGTATTAGAAGGCTTTGATTCCCTTTGTTTTTGTTGAGAGCTCTGGAAATGTCAGCCTGCTGACACCTGGGAGGCATGAGCAGCTTCTCAGTGTCTTTGCTGAGCTGTTTTGTTAAGCAAACACAATATATTAAAATTATCCATTTGAAGCAGCAGCTGTGTCTTGTAGATGATCTACTTGAGTGATTATTTAACTCTAAGGATGCTCTGTAACTAGGCTAGAGCCTGTCTGCACTGTGGATTGGAGTGACTAAAACCAGGCTGGGGGAGGAATGGATTGTTGCAAGGTCCTTCTGTAGAGGTTTAGTTTTGTGTTGTAATTGGACACCGGAAAACGTTGGCCCTTATACTGTGGGCATAAGGACCAAGTGGTTTTCTGTTTGTTTGTGAGTTTTTAATATTCTCCTCTCAGTTTTACTTGCCTTCTAAATATGCCTATGCCAGAATTTATGCCTGTGCCTGATGAAAATATTTCTAAACCTACAACCTTGGCCCTGAGCTCTGCAGTAGGTTAATGGCAAGTCTCCCTTACTCGTTTCAGACTTGGCTACAGTCACAAAATAAATGACCTGTTTGTTTCAGCTCAGCCTCTTGTGGAGGTTTGTTTGCATTATAAAACCATGATGCAGTTCAGCAGACTTCCAGTTTCTGGAGTGGTGTAGTAGGGCTAATGCAGGTCTCTTCTGAGGAATGCCAGCCCTAATTTGTGGGAAGTTTATGCTCTGACAGTACTGGCTAGAGCTAGGAACTATGCTGAGCAGGGGAGATGAAATTAAAGCAAAAGGTTACCTAAGTGGAAATACAAAATATTGGTATTTTCCTGTTCAAGTGCAGTGTTGTAACTGAGACTACAAAGTGAACTCAAAGACTTGTCCTGTAAAGTAGTCAAAGAAGACTTGCAGGTTCAGGATGAGCTGGGCCCAACATGGGGCAAGTTTTGGTGCTTGAATCTTCCTCAGCTGTAAATATTTGATGTTGTCTTTCTCCCAAGGACAAGGAGCTGAGTTATGGCCAAACCAAGGAACTTTCCCTCTGCTGGGGAAGCAGGTGACAGCAGCTGAGAACAAAACTGTTGAGTGCCTGGTTCTCTTTACCTGTTTGGTTTGATTTCTTGTGTTTCGTTTTCAAACACTTTTTTTTTCCCCCTTGTTTTTATTTTTCTTTTCTCCAGGCTGATGACCTCACAGTCAATTCAGTTTTTGGAAGGTTTTGTTCTTCTCGCTTTTTGAAGCCTTTCTGAAGTTTACACAGGGCTGTGGTGAAGTCTTCCTCCCTTCATGTTGTTATTTTATCCAGTGGCATTTGTCAGTGGAATTCCTTTAATTCCTTCATGTTTTTGCAGTGCTGGCTGTCGAAGCTACATCAGACTACGAGTTTAAATAGTTAACTCTTGGCAAGTGACTTTTGTCAAAGCTTTGGCATCTTGTTCTTCAGAAAACCTTTTCAGATTAATAACATGCATCCAACTGATTTATTGCGCTCCAGGCCGAGTGCCCAGCGACAGCCTTCGGTGTCTAAAAATGGTTGTTGTTGTTAAGGCCATCTTTTAGGAAATTAGGAGTTTGACATTTGAGTGCAAATATGCACATATTTATACAGATCCCGGGGACAGAAAACTGCTTAGCAATGAGTTGGAATATTTTTTTGGAGCGATCTTGTTTTATACCCCTGAGGCATTAAAGGGATGCTGCTTGAATTTGAGGAGCCTTAGCCATTTTTATGTCTGTGAAGTATAAAATGTTAAGAACTGGCTAACAGATGCCACCTGTTAGTTTGACCCTGATGCTTAGGGTATAACTTGATGTGACGTTGTGGGATTTCCATCTTTAAATAATTACAGATTCAGGCATTAGTTTTGAAAGGCAAACCTCTAATTAGCCAAATTAATGCTGATAGTAGCTGTATTTATAGTAATTTCTGCATTAAAAAAAACCAATATATTCGTGCAGCAAAGAAACTGATCTTATAATATTAATATGGAATTTTTTTTTTCTTCAAGGTGTGTTTTGGTCAGGCAAAAAATGAAAATGTGGCAGGGCATGAAACATGCTGAAATTTTACTTTTCAGTAATATAAGAAATTACTGAATAGGGCAGATATACATTTTGAGAGGTGCATTTCTGAATTATTTTTGTCTTGGCAGAGTGGGGTGCACTTTTTTTGTGTAAAGATGTCAGAAAAATTGTGCTGAAAGCTGAGAATTCATTAGGAAATTTTTTTTTAAGTATTTAGTGTCTTTTTATTTTTTAACTGCCTATGGAGAACAACTTAAGAGTTTTTATGCTGAACCTTAGTATGAAAAAATCCCACCCAACAACCTTTTAGTTCACTGGAGTATAGTCAGGATAGTCTTGGATTCTGTTCAGTGCACTTTAATTTACTACCTTGTATGGTTAATTAAAGTACCTCAGACTGACTTGACAGTCAATTAAACCTTGGTTGATTTCATTGAGAATGTGATCATTAGTGTAATTGGCCAAAATGACAGGAGGCCCACTTGGAACTGCACCCACTTGAAATTTTCCTCTAATTCCGTCTATGCAATCCTGGGCAGGGGAAGAGACAAGTGGAGCTCTCTCCTAATAATTTCCAAGAATTTCATGTGGCTGTCTGGAAATAAGGCAACCTCTAACAGGCAAAAATGAAGGAATGGGTTACTTGGGAATCCAGATGGCAAAACCTTTTGGTATTTATACTGCGTGCCAGAGAGATTTTGTTTGTTAAATAGATTGAGAAACTGTGTTGAGACTCCCCTGTGTTAATGGGATCTGGATACTTGAGAGAGTGAGGCTTTTCCTCCTGTTTAATATCACTTATCTAACTCGGTATCTTCTTTCTAGTGAAGGCAACACCATTCTTCCCTGTTTTGTTTTTGCATACATCTTGCTTTGCCTGAGAGCTTCCAGTCTTGAGTTTGCTGGGTTGCAGTGTGGAGGTGTTGTTGTCTCACCAGATGTGTGGGGAGGGCTCTGCAAGCTCCAGGGTGCACTTTCTGTGGTGGAGTGGTGATACCACGGTGTCAGGCTGTGCATTTCTGGGGGCAAACATCTAGTGCATATGGGTGCTACTCTGATGGAAATAAATTCTAAAAAATTGTTTCTTCCATTGCCAGGTTTTCTGGTCAGTCTCCAAAGGTACTTGCATCTCCTGCTCCAGAAAAATAATTGTTAATTAATACCACGGTTTCCTCTGTCTATCCCCCTGCCACAGACAGTTCTTTCTTTATCCCCTTGAAAAGCAACCAAATGATAGTTTGTCCCTTTCAAATCAAAAGGAATTATTTAAGCATGCCTTAGAAATTCCTAGGCACCTTGTCTATATAGCTGAGGAAGTTCTCTGGGTTATTTTTCTCAGTTGAGGAGATGTAACAGGTTTTACCATCCCATGGTGCATTCCAGACCATCAGGGCTCCTGGGGCAAGAACACAGGGTCAGAAAGTGCAGGAAACTCAGGCACGTGGGAGTCTGCATTCAGAATTCTGTAGGAATACCATGATGTGGCATTTGATAGAGATGAAATTTTTCATAATCAGACCGTGGTAAGTAACTCTCATACCCACCAGCATTCATTTAGAGAGGTGTTGAGATGTCTGAAATGAACACCCTTCAATTTTGGAGAGGACAACCTGAAATTCCTTCCAGGCAGTTCAACAGAGCTGGTTTCTGACAGCAGGGAAGGACTCTGTGTTTGCCTGCTGTGTTGGCACAGAGCATCTTTAAAAAATAGGCTGCATACAAAACATGGGTGCAGCAGCACTGCTGTACATTCAGGGAACAGCTGGTGTGCCTGTTTTTGAGATGCTTTTCAAATTTAGTGCATTGTTCAGGTTCTGTACATCTGTGTAAATAGATGTGTAATTGCCTGCTCTGTGGTTATTTTGTCCCCCTTTATTTATTTATTTATGTATTTTATTGTTTCCTTATCGTCCCTCTGGTTTTTCATTCAGCCTCAAGGTGAGGGGGAAGAGAAGAATCTCTTTGTGACTGTTCACTTTGTTCAGGCTTGTAGGGGCTCACCAAGCTGCTGTAAATGAACAGTTAAGTTTGGAAAAGACAAATAACCTCCTAAGTCTAAGGTTTAAAGAGGAAAAAAAAAAAAGTAGGCCACCTGTCAAGTTTACCAGTCCAAGCTGAATTTGATGGGCTCCAGAGTCACCCTGATTACTTCATCATCCTCTTGAAAAGGCAAATAAAATTGTTGGTCCCCCTCCATTTATTTTGTTTTTCCCTTTCTCGTACTTGGCAAAGGTAACTTGTTTCCTGTGTTTTCAGTTGAACTGAAATTAATATAGCTTTTAAAAGTATGTTTGTGGGGAGAATTTGGGCAGTTTCTTATAAGAATACTTTAGTTTTGTAGCGGGATTGTAGGTAATTTTATAAATTTGGGGTCTGGGTCTTCAGTGGGTATAAACTTGTATTCCTACCAGGTGAGGAATTAGTCTTGGAACACTCGCAAGGAGAAGCTTTAAAAACAAAGGTTTTGGTGCCTCAGCTGATAATTTTCCTTATGTCAACTGAAAGTCGATCTGTTTTTTTATAATTAGGGATCCTTTGTTCACTCCTGAAAGTGAAATTCTTTCTTGCAATAGCAGTAGATTGGTCACCAACTGCAACTGAAGTAGAATAAAATGTTGCATTTTGTGGGTTTCCTCCTGCTTAGTTGCTTGCTTTAGCAACCAGAACTTCAGTAAAACAAAGAAAAGGTTGGGGGGAAGGGAGTGAAAATTGTTTGTTACCGGTTAAATTTTGAGTTCCAACCCTATTCATCTCGGAATAGCCAGAGCATAGTGTATTTCCATGACTCTAAAGGACAAGTGCATTAGATTGCTGTTGTTGTGTGGTGGTTTTGGTGGTTTGGTTTTCTTCTTTGTTTGTTTTCTGCCTCTACCTGGATATCTTCTTTCTTTTTTTATTCCCTTAAACTGGTGCAAACTTTGTTGGGAGTCCCACCAGACTTCTTAGACACGTTCACAATAATGGCAACCTCAATTTCTTGTATTTTAGGATCCAGCAAGAGTAGAGAAGACAGCACATTACCTAAGATGTGAGAAGTCCTCCCGTAGTGAGATCAACCCTTGTTTCCAAAATGGACCGGAGTAAGCGGAATTCCATCGCGGGATTTCCACCACGCCTGGAGCGCACGGAAGACTTCGAGGGTGGCACTGGAGAAGGGACTGCATCCCAGATAGGAAGAGTTTGTACCTCTTCATACAGAGCCCTGATAAGTGCCTTTTCCAGACTTACTCGTCTCGATGACTTCACATGTGAGAAAATCGGCTCTGGTTTCTTCTCTGAGGTGTTCAAGGTGTGTGTTTATTTATTTTCTCCCCTCTCTTCGTGTTGGTTGCTTGGTGTTTGATGAGGAGAGTGTATCACAGTGTCAGCTGAAGAAGGAGTGGTGAAGAACTTTCAGGTCCCAAACATTTCTTCTGTCACTCTTCCAACCGTTTTTATGTCACTTGTAATTTATTTGGGGAGTTACAGAGCAATTTGGTGGAAACAGAGCAAGCTAAAAAGAACTGGTTTATTTTTGGACCTCTGTCGTGTGTTTTTGCATTCTTGTATTTATATTATATTATATTATATATATATTAGTGTTTTAAACACTGATAGTTATTGGTTCTTCTGTATGTAAGTGTAAATGTCTTTAATTTAGCTAGTTTATTGGTCTTGTGGGATGGTGCACATTCCTTTGGCAGTCTTTGCCTCTCAGCATTAGTTGCATGTGTTGGGGAGATTCACACGTGGTTACTGAATTTGAAACCACGGCATTTATTGCACTGAAATACAATTAGCTGCTCTTCTGTTTCCTTTGCTGCTTGTTATTTACTTCTAACTCCAGCAGGGATTGGTTTGATGTAAGTAATATGAATGAGAAAGTCTGATGTTGTCAGTGACTTGCTGCTATGAATGTTGGACATGGACAAGATCTTTCTAAAGCAATTTGCCAAACTGTACAGGCACCCCCAGTTTTACAGTGCTGGTGGTTCTGCTACTCTGACTGTTCTGGGGAGGTTTATTGTAGAAGAACAGGACACTGAGTTGACCTCCAGGCTTTCAGGCAGGCAAAAAGATAATTTGCTTCCTTGTCCTAGTCCCTGACTTTACCTGAAGTTGCCTTCCATGTTATTTCCATTTAAGGGAAATGCCAGAAAACTTTATCTTACAATATATTATGTCCATTCCATGACACTTCATGTGGGTTTTTCTTTTCTTTAAGCTAAATCCATAAACCTTTTATCCAGTTTTATTGCTGTAAATAGATGCCTGAATTAGAAAAAGAAAAATTATTTTAAGGTTGCTTTAATACCCAAAGGCATTCAGATCTCCATGCATACATTGGCTCTTATGTAAAGGCAAGTCACTCCACAGAAGTTTTTCTGTTCAGCTAGATATGTGAAATTTTACTTTTCACTCACACGAGTTTTTCATTCTTTCAAATGGGTAGACATGAAGAATTTTATTTGGGGTGTGTAGGAGACTCGGTACAGATAATTTCTTTATAAAGCCAGCTTGTGTAACAACTGAAAACAAAGGTTTGCTTGGTAGATGTTTGTTTGGGGTTTTTTGTTTGTTTGGGGGTCTGCACTCGCTGGCATTGCTCTGGGAGCAGGGCTGGTGGTCTCAGTATCTGGTGCCTGTTTTCCCAGAAGCAAGCACAGTCCTCCTGCAGGGAGTCAGTGAGTGCTAAAGCCTTTTCTTTCTCCTCAGTTTCGACCAAAGCGTCTCTCCAGTTTTGGCCCAGAGGGGTGAGATGCGTTGTGACCTTATCGTAGGTGCAGTTCCAAGCTCACTTAAGCAGGTGTCTGTTCTGGTGCTTTATCAGCCTGGCCACCTCTGTCATTAATCCTGCTCTGCTGATGATCAGATTTCATGCAAGAACCTTGATGTGCTTCCAGGAAGGAGATCCTCGTGGTTTGCCACAGTTACATTTCAGGCTTGTCTGCAGCTCCCAGCTAAATGATTGAACTTGGGGAAAATCCAGGCTAGTTCTAGACTTGGCTGTGTAAGTAACTTTACAAGTGCAATGAAGCCTTCCCTTCAAACCAGCAAAGATGTCTCAACCCCCCCCATGTCTCCAGAGCTTTTTCAGTAATGTATTTGTCTGTTGTTTTGTGAGTATCATACATTGGGCTCACTTTGATTTAGCAAAGAATGCTTGGCCTGTTTTGAGGGCTTGGAATTTTTGTTTTGCACTGTGACTGACAATTGTTTTCCGTGATTTCTTCCCCTCCATCCTTTTCTGTGGAGACTCCATTTAAAGTAGTTTGTTGCACTGGATAGAAGTTGCCTTCTCTTAACTTGTTACAGCTCAGATGTTTATGTTAATGGTCATATGTGCTGTGAATGATCTCTTAGCATTTCTGCTGCACCTTTATTCATAAACTAATTGAACTTTGTGGTTTAGTCAGCATAGAGTATGAAACTTGCATTTTGATTGTGTTAGCCATCACTATAACACTTCAAATTCATGTTCACCTGAGTACCAGGTGTTACAGAAACTAGTTTAGAAAAACTGAATTTTGTCAAAATATTAGCAATCTAGTTTGAATCAGTTAATGAAATACTTGTTTAATGATGGCTGGGCAAAGGTGAATATAAGATGCATAAAACACAATGCAAAACAAATGCCTTTTATATCTGAAATACCAAGCAGCTGAGTGTGGGTGCCTCCAAAGAAATATTTTGAGATGAACATCAGCCCTCCCATTTCAGTGTATTTACTGTCAGCACCATGTGTTAGGTGCTCAGTTTATGATCCCCTATAACTTGAGATCCTTTCTGGACAACTTCTGACTACACAGTTTTTCTGTTTTTGCACTTGTGCAGCAGATTTTACCTTTTTTTGCTGTTGCCCCCTTTCAAGCATTTCTTAATTTTTCAAGGGATTCCTTCAGTCTTGATAATCTTAGCAGTTTACCTGTGATCCACAAGCTACTCATCTGATTATGGTTTTACGTGGCCACTTCAGAGTATTTCCTTTTAGATCACATTTGTTTGGCTTATTTATGAAGATGTCTAGAGAGGTGCATTGAAGCCGTATGAGAAATAAGATAGGATGAATCTTAGTGATGATGTGACATGGAAACCCTTGAGAAAAGATAGGTGGAAATGCCAGTGCCGTTTGGTGATGTATGGACTCCACACATAATGAAACTGGCACTGGCAGGGTGCAAGTTCAAGTACAAATACAAAGAGAGGGCATCAGTACTTTTGGGTGACTCAATGAGGTGGGTGGTGTCTGCTGAAGGGTCACTCTCCTCAGGGTGTTCCTGCTGGATGTGCTTGTACTGTGAGCCCTCTGAATACTCAGGAATGATGGTCCTGCATTCATTAGTCAGTTGTTGGTCTTTCCTTGTGTGGTCGAATTTATGTTCTCCACGTTTCAAAAGTGCTGAGTGATCACGGAAGGTGTGCCTGTCCAAATACGGACCTTGAACCTGGGGCTGGGATCCTGTTTCTCGTATTTATTTAATGTCTTCGAGGTGCTTTCAAGATAAGCAGCATCCAGCTGTCTAATGTGAAAGGAGAAACGGGGCTGATGTGGAGGTGTGGTGTGCTTGGGAGTACTGTGAAGAACACATTTTATATATATATATATATTCTTTTTCTCAAGTACTTGTACCCAGGATAAAACTGGTAGTTCTGTTTCTTCTAACATTGATACCAGATAGTGGTAGATTTATGGTACTGTGTCTCATGGGCACACTGTCAGCTGGTGGGCTTGCTCTCTGGAACATCTTTGGCTGTGGTAGAGCTGTTAGAGAGATATTACTGAGCTGCCTTTCCCAGAGTGACTCAGTGAGAGGTTTGGGGTTTTTTTTTTTTTGTACTTTATGACTTTTAGTGATTGTAGTGGGTTGTGGCACTGTCAGATGCCTTACAGAAGTCTGTGTGTATTGCTGTTTTAAAACAAGTATGCATTTTGCTTAATTAATCTTATCACTTAAATTTAAAATTAATATAAAGCAAGGAAGGGATGTTACAAGAACTGCTGCAGTATCCTTAAGTAAGCCAGGCATAAGCATTTGTGATCTGTTCTTGGCAGCTACTTTTGGCTTGTACCTTATACTTACATTATATAACATTCTACAACCTTCTTTGGTGTATCCAGGCCATAATTTATTATTTTTAAGGGATCCTTTTATAGCTAGAACCTCCCAGTTTGAGTTGTTTCTACAGCTGGTCCTTCCTATTTGCTTATTGACTCTACTAGCAACTCATTACTGACAGAGGGTTCTGTTTTCCTGTGGCATTTAGTCATAAGAGTGAAATGTCTGTGAATGTGTGGAAGGAAGGAAGGAGATATTTGAGTAGTTATATAAATGAGCTTACACAGAAGGCAGTGCCAGTTCAGATCCAAAGGAGAGGATGACTGCAAAGAGGAGATGGAAAAGGTGGAGGAAAAAAGGCAATAGAATCTTAATTGAAGGTGAGGGAGCTGCTGTTTGGTTTTCAGCCCGTGCTCAGCGAATCCCACCGGAGGAGGTGTTGGAAACCAGTGTCTCAGAACTTGCAGACAGCGCTTTCCAGGCCTGGAATCTTTATTAACTTGGGTTTTATCAGATAAACAGGTGCTGCAATATTTGAATTGTCCAAATGTTTTAAACCTCAATGTGAATCTGTGCATTGTTGCTGGTCTTTGCAGAATGGCCAAGATTAGAACTGGAACAGATCTTCCTCCTGCAGGGCAGGGCCTCAGCACTCTCCCAGGGCTCTACAAGCCAGTTTTCACTTTCTCCTCCGTGTGTGTCTGTTTGCTGCACAAATGGGATATCAGTCTTGAAGACTGTCAAGCCAGTACCTTCCCTGCTGAATTATTTTAAGGAGGAAGGGGTTAATTGTCAGTATAAATCAAAAAGATTCTGGGCACTTCAATTGAAGGCAAACTTTTCTTAATCTATCATATCCTTTTGATTGTTATTATTATTTCAAAACTCTCAGCATAAACTGACAACAGGAAGAAGCTTCTTTTTTTTGTTAATACCAAACTAAGAGATGAATTTGGCTCTTAATACATCTCTGGATTTTTCTTAACAGTTTCATTGCTTTGTCACCAGACTTCAGGCCAACATTCTTCAAGGTGACGTTAATATCCCCATAAAACCACCTGATTAGACAGAAAACTTGTGTAGGGGAAGATAAGAAGGCTAATTGTGTTGTAGGTGTTTTTCTTTAAAGGAACTGTTGTATATGAGATTTGGTGTTGATGGAGCCATAGTTTGATTAATGCTGTGTGTGTATCATGTTCCTGGACTTACAATGCAGTAACAAGAGTTTTCCTCTGGTCAGTAATACCATACT